AGACACCAGGAATGACAGAAAAGATTTTGATGGGTTTGGGGCTAGAACACAAGAAAATGTAGAAACAGAGAAGGTTAGCCATGCCCAGCACTAGCTAATTGGGGGGATGTAATTGTGTGCATACGATCCTCCTAAACAGAGTTTAGGGGATAAGCCTGTGGGGTAGAGATACTTTATGTACATGAGCAATAGGGTTTTTGCTCGGTTCAATTCTTGGGATTAATATATTCACCATGCTTTCATACTCCTACCTAACCCCTTTGGTTTCCAAGGCAAATCTAGACAGAGTGATCTGAGGAGCCCTGTGCTGCACTAAATCCTTAGTGGCTAAATTGATCAAATTTGTGCACATGTAAGTTCTTGATCACTAAGAAAAGGAAGTAACTACCGCAATGCCTTTGTTGTCACAGGCATTCTAAAACAAGTGTATATGACTGTTCCTGTTAGGAAAATACTCTTAGAGGCAACCAATACACTGAACTGGGAAATAACATCTGATTTATTCAGTTTCTCCATTTAAAATCATCAACAGTGAAGCATGAAGAACCACTCTGATTAATGTCCCCAAGATTCATACTTCAGCTTCTTTCTCTACATTCTCTCCCTCAGGGATCAGCTCTTCCTATACCCCCTACGGCCTTCTTTGGTCATATGCCCCCTAAATTCTTCTGGGCTTGTGGCTGACATTCCCACAGTGGTCTCCTGGAGCAGCTGCTGGGAGACAGTCTGAAACAGTTCTCCACCTGAATCTGTTTCCACCTTCCCCCAATACATCAATGCGCCCACTCCCCCTGGGGCACACAGAAGGCCCTTTGCAGGTGTGTGCTGTATGAGTACACAGATGGATGGCATCAGGGATCCTCATGCTCACTCAAGTAGCTGAGCATGGTGCAAGTCCATACCCGGGAACCCCAAAGGTATACATACCTCCATGCCTTCCCTCTTTAAAAAGCACACTTTGGGGGAGAAATAGAGAGGAGATTAAGAATGTAAAGAAATCTTTCACAATGCTTGCAGGGGTGAAGAAAGTTGGCCAGCTGGAAGCAGCAGAGAAAAGTCCAGTTGTTCTTAGTATACCATATCAGCACAGCTAAGCCCATCTGAATGTGGTTTCTGAAGTCACTGATGAAGACATCTAGTCCGGGAATGGAACTCCAGCTGGTGAAGAGAATCAGAGGCGACAAGCTCATCCAAGGTCCACTGAAATCATCCATATTTTCTCATGGACAGGTGGACAGGACGGGAACCCTGGAACAAGAAGCCAAAGGGCCACCTCTTCTACCCTTTTGGAAGCAATCCACACTTGGCCCCACTTGGGGACACACAAGCTGAGCATGGCAGCTTGGGGACTCAAGTCTTCTGGCCAAGAGTCATTCCTTTAATCGTCCCAAGTAACTGGCACTGAAACAAAAAGTTCACATATTCTAGCCAAACCCTTTTACAGCCCTTGCTGTTTTGTAGGAAATTCACAAAACCGTAAGTTACAGAGTTCAACCAGCTTATTTTTGAACATTGGATGAGAAAGCAGATAGACTTGCCCCGTACCTCTATGAGTCCTGCAATCCTTCAACACTCTAATGGGAGTCAGGTTTGTGTCCAAATACAATATACCTGCTGCTGCTTTCTGTCTAGAGCAAAAACATGAAGAACCATGCTTATTCTGTTGAGCCAAAGATCTCCTAACTCCTACCAACACCAGAAAGTAACCATTATTTTCACGACTTTCATTAACTTCAGTTTATGAAAGGAACTGTCAAACATGCTGGCACCTGGTTTGTTATCTATGGAAGTCATACAAGGGGTCGTAGTTCATGTCTCTAACTCCTCTGGGCTCCAGAGATCACTTAGAAAGAAAATGGAGGGAAACCAAAGTTTACCATATCAGAGAAACCACTGCCATCACACAAAGGTTTGGAACAAAAGGGAATTTGGGGGCCTCCAACTCGGACAGTGTCTTTTTAGGCTGATAGGTCAGTTACTTGAAGAATGTCTGGAGATTCATTCTGTTGGAATTTACCACAATGAGTATTTCTACAGCCTTCTCATATGAGATCTCTAATTCTCTACAGTAAAGTTTGTGAGTTCCAGCAGACACAACAACCCTTAACAAGGACCTTATGTCAAACCCTCATGTAGCTGCTAATTAGTAGATGCATTCTCGGGTCTTCACCACTGCAATTACAAGCCATATCCTGCTCCCTCCACTGTGTTAATATGTGGTGTATGTTAACAGCCAACAAGTTGAGCCCCTCAGGCTTGCATTCAAAATAAGGGGGAAAGTTTCCATTCAGGGTACAGTGAAACAAGTTAAATGACACCAAAAGGAACAAATTCAGAAGGTGGGATCCTCTACAGGACACCTGACCCCACTTACACAATAAGTCAATGACATGGGGCAAACAGGGAAAGAAGGGGAGCTTGCTGGCTCTAGATTGAAAGAATAAAGAGAGCAGATGTGATGGGTGGACTCACACGGATCCTAATTAGAACAAAATTACTGTCCAGAGGCATTCCTGACCTTCCAGGAAATTTGATTTTGCCTGGGTACTGGGTGATATCAAGAAATTGTGGTTTATATTGTTCGGTATAATAGTAGCATTATGGTTTATACAAGAAAATGACCATATTTTCTAGAGATATTTATGAAGGATGTAAGGGTAAAATGACATGCTGAGACTAAGTTTCTAAGCATTTTTTCTTAATTTTTTTTAATGTTTATTTATTTTTGAGAGAGAGAGAGACAGAGCGTGAACAGAGAAAGGGCAGAGAGAGAGGAAGACAGAATCCGAAGCAGGCTCCAGGGTCCAAGCTGTCAGCACAGGGCCTGACGCGGGGCTCAAACTCATGAACCAAGAGATCATGACCTGAACTGAAGTCGGATGTTCAACTGACTGAGCCACCTAGGCATCCCTAGTTTTTAAGCTATTTTAAAGCTTTTTAGCAAAGAGGAGAGAAATGGAGAATTATATGAAGTAACTGATGTAAATTCTTGGTAATTGTTAAATCTGAGTACATAAGGGTTCAATGTACGATTCACTTTATTTTTAAATATGCTTAAATATTTTCATGTTTAAAAATTCATGTGAAAAAACTGAAGCACTGAGCTAAAAATCTTTGGTAATAAAATGTATAAAAGTTCCTCAATCTACAACATAGGAAAGACTTTACAAAAAACATAGCTTTAGGGCACCCTGCTGACTCAGTCGGTAGAGCACGTGACTCTTAATCTGAGGTTGTGAGTTTGAGCCCAATGTTGGGTGTAAAGATAACTTAAAAAATAAAATCTAAAAAACCCAACAGCTTTGCCTTTTCCTCTAAAAAAAATTCTAAGAAGCAGAATCTCTCAGCAGCCACAGAACCTGGGTGGCCCTTATCTCTCTTCCTTCCCCGCACACTCCATATCCACAGGGCGAACTGACAATACCTGTCTCACCCAGGCCAAGAGACCTAGCCAAAAACTGGCTTTCCAGAGCTCAGCCTCCTTGTCCTGTTCTCATGTGGTTTCTCTGACTGGGGCCAGGGTTGGGTGAGGAGGGGAAGGTTTGCTTATCATAGCATACTGATTTTTCTGGTCTTTGAAATGAGGTGGATTACAAAGATTATCACTGTTAAATCCTACTACCATAATGCTTCAAGGGATGAACACATGTTCCTTGGACAGATATATATATATATATTCAAATGACAAATATTTATAGGCATATATATAGATATATATGTTCTTTTTTATATATAAAAATTATATATAATATACAATTATATATTAAATTATATATGTATAATAAATTATATATATATGTATTATATATATATAATTTTTAAGCTTATTTATTTATTTTGGGGGGTGGGGAGAGAATCCCCAGTGCAGGGCTCAAACTCACAAACCGAGATCATGAGCTGAGCCAAAAACCAACAGTTGGATGATTAGGCACCCCTATATATAAATTATTTTAATCTACATTCTAATCTGATTAATAGGTACATTCCTGAGTTCCTTCACAGAACACTATTATTGCAATTTTTAAATAATAGATTACTTTATATTCCATTTTACTCCTGTCAGTAACACACAAAACAAATAGAGCTTATCATTAGATAAAAGCTCAGTAACTTCTAACTCAGTGGCTACAGACCCTCAGTTCAGGAGTCACAAATGGCAAATGATTTTTAAAAATGACCTTGGTTCCTCCTTCACTCAATAAGTCAAATAATGACCTGGCAAGTTGGTCACTGTGACAGTGAGTCCTTATACTGCCCCATGTTGCCAGAAGCCATGGATAAGACACTTGTCCTCTTCTTCAACTCCCTGTCTGAAAATGATAACACACAAGAAAGCTTACCCAATTTTCGTGACTTCTGTAACCTAATTAATTACATAGGTATAATAGCAGCTAAAATCCAAATCAACTTTGGCATCATAAGAATTATTGTATGCAGTTAAAACCCTTTACCTACAGGGTTCACTGTTTTTCTACCGTACAACTATCCTCCAACACAGTGCATTGGCAAAGTCACCATAATCACTTGGATTTCTGGGTTATAAAATGTGTGAATACCCCCCATCCCAATTTCTGGTCTTCAAGAATGCTATTTCTCCGGTGCCTGGGTGGCTCAGTAGGTTAAGCATCCCACTTCATGTCACGTCATGATGTCACAGTTCATGAGTTCTAGCCCCATATGGGGCTTTGCAGTGACAGCACGGAGCCTGGAGCCTGCTTCAAATTCCATGTCTCCCTCTCTCCCTCCCCCACTTGCTCATGCGTGCGCTCTCTCTCTCTCTCTTTCTCAAAAATAAAAACAAAACAAAACAGAGAAAGAATGCTATTTCTCTCTTTGACTATTATGAATATAATTACCTTGGTTGGTTTGCCTCATGTTTACAATTAGAAATAATGAAAAATACCTCAGGCTCAAGTTTAAATCATTTTGTAATTAAGCACTGATTGTACAAGACTGTGCAAAAGGTGAGCTTAAATTTACAACTTAATTTGTTCATGTAAACTGCCTTCAACATACATGACAACTAAGATGTGTACAGGGTTTGACATGCATTTTGGAAGAAATCACACAGAAGCAGCTGCTTTTTCAATAAACTTGGCCAGTTTCACATCTCTCTTGGTCAGTCCACCATAGTCATGCGAGGTTAGGGTTATCTGCACCTAAGAGACACAAAGGTAGTTTTTAAAACCTGTAGCTTGCAATTCATGGTACTCATCTTTGGTGGTTCAGAAATCAATCTATTATTCACATTCACATTTGAGAATTAGGGAGGTTAAATGATTTACAACATACTACATTACAAATCATCACAGCATTTCCAAAACCCAGTAAACTCCAGGGACAGAGTCTGCTTCAGGTTGGGCCCAGCAGCCGCCCAGGGATAAAAAGGTCCTCTCATATGAAGGGCAATTCAGCTGCCAGCATCTCAAATCTTGTCTCTCAAAAAAAAAAAAAAAAAAA